AAAAAAAAAAAAAAAAGTTAATCTCTTTTCCACGCCAAACCATATGTCCCCTCCCCAGAGGCAAATCAAGTTTTTCCTTATATCCTTCTAGAAATTTTTGATGCATGTCAAGGAATATAAACCATTTTTTTAAACCAAAAATTGGTATAATATATACACCATTTTGCACTTTGCTTTTTCAACCTAGCATATAATAGCTAACAATTATTGAATGCTTATATAGCAAACATTGTTCTAAACACATCATACGTGTTAATTCATTTAATCCTCACACAACCCTAAGAGAAGTAGGTTTTATTTATTATCTCCATTTTATGGATCAGAAAACTAAGGCTCAGAAATATTCAGTATCTTGCCCAAAGTCCAATAGCTAGTAAGTGGTAGAGCTAAGATTTTTTTAGAAGCTATAATTCACATACCATAAAAATCAGCATTTTAATGTAAAATTCAGTGGTTTTTAGTATAGTCACAAGGTTCTATAATCATCACCACTATCTACTTCCAGAACATTTTTATCACCCAAAAAAGAAACCCCATACTCATTAGCAGTCACTCCCTAGCCCCCTCTCCCCGCTGCCTCTGGAAACCACTAATATAGTTTTAGTTTGTATGAATTTGCCTATTCTGGACATTTCATATAAATGGGAATCATATAATATGTGGCCTTTTGTGACTGATTTCCTTCACTTAGCATAGTGTTTTCAAGATTTATCCATGTTGTAGCATGTGTCAGTATTTCACCTTTTTTATGGCTGAATAATATTCCATTATATGACTATACCAAACAAACTTTGTTTATCCATTTACTAGTTAATGGACACTTGGACTGTTTCCGCCTTTTGGCTATTATGAATGACATGGCTTCTATGAACATTTATGTACAAATTTTTGTGTGTACATATGTTTTCTATTCTCTTGGATATATACTACCTAGGAGTGGCATTGTTGGGTCATATGGTAAGCCTACATCTAACTTTTTGAGGAACTGACAGACGTTTTCATGGAACCTGTACCGTTTTACATTCCCGCCAGCAACATACAAGGGTTGCAATTTCTCCACATCCTTGCCAGCACTTATTTTCCATTCTTTTTGTTATAGTTGTATATCTTCTTTAGAGAAATGTCTGTTCAAATCCTTTGCCCATGTTTAGATTAAGTTTTTGTCTTTTTGTTGTTGAGTTGTAAGAGTAGAGCCAGGATTTTAACCCAAGCAGTGTGACTCCAGACCCCATGTTCTAAATCAGACTCTGTACTGATTTCAACATATCTTAGAGAGTATTCCGAATGAAAGCACATACAGATCTATCACAATCTTATTTCATGGTTACACCTGTATTCTATAATTCATTAACCATTTTCCTATTCGTGGACATGTGTGTGCTCCCAGTCTTTGCTATTATAAACACTGCTGCCTTGAACATCTCGGTATTTGTGTGTTTCTCGGCTCACATGTACAAGTATACATGTAGGAAGAATTGCTAGAAGTAGAATTCCTAAATCAATTGTATATCTTGAATTGCTCTCCAAAGAAGTTGTACCAATTTATATTCTCACCAGCAGCATGTGAGAGACTATCCATGTACCTTTGCCAATGTTGTACATTATCAAATTATTTGTTGCCATTCTGATGAGGGGAAAATGCTATGTTATAATTGTTTCAATATTAATTATTTAATTATAAGTGAAGTTAAATCTATTTTCCTATAGTTATAATCCTTTGGAATTTCTATTTCTGTGAAACGCCTCTTCATGTCCTTTGGTTTTGTTTTTATTTTTTTCTATTCTTAGTAGAAATATTTCTGTTTCTAAGGTTCTTAGTCTTCCGCTCATTTTTGATTTGTAGAAGCTCAATTCTTAGTCATATACTTGGCAAAAAATGTTTCCTATTTAATCTTTTTACTTTAATTATGGTATTTTATTCTAGAAATTTTAAATTTTTATACAGACATGTTTATTGGTCATCTCTTTTACGGCTTCTGGACTTCATTTCCTACTAAGAAAGATCTCTACCACTCCAAGATTTTATGAAACATTCTCTCCCATTTTTTCCCCCAATGTTTTTATATTATCACCTATTCTTAATAAAAAAACTTTACTCACATAACCCAGATGTCACCAGGGGTTACTCTACTCCTTTGAATTTAATTAAAGATTGGTTCAAGCATTTGTTATATGATTTGTTTGGAGCCTCCTACCCTCCCCCAAATATCTGAACTCTGGGGACTTATGTTTTCTATGGCACCGAGCTCCTCTTTTGTCCTGCATGTGCTGTGCACGTACCACCTCTTCCCTTGATTTTCACAAAAACTGCTCACACAAGGCCTGTGTGGGTGTGTTGTGTATATAGGAAACTTTACTAAGTTTAGAGAGATGGGAAGAAGGGGGACCATATCACAGTAATGCAAATACCTTTCATGTGAGTTGCCCTTCTTAAAATCCTTTAGTCATCCCACAATTTGCAAGACCATCCTCTATAGTCGTGTGCACTTTCCTCTCTCTTCTTTCCCCAAACTCCTGCTCATCTCTAATGTAGAGCAATGTAGCTCTCACTCTGCCTTTGGCTCTAATCTTTGTTTTCCTGAGAAAGGACAGTCCCCTCCCTCTGGTGTATTCTGGTACTAGCAAAGTCAATTTTTTGACATCCCTCTACACTAGGAATGGAAGGAGACCTCAGTAACTTGATAAAGCCATTAGCATCAAAGAACCTACAGAACAGTGGAACAGTGGAGGTGTTTGGCTTAACACCAGGATCAAGCAAAGGACACCCATCATTCCACCTCCCTTTGAAGTTGTTTTGAATCAGGGCATCCAACTTCAGGGCTCCCTTACCTTCCTAGGCCTCAAAGGATTTTCCTTACTTTCTTACAAGCTCCTTCATTAATTTAAAAGGATTTTTAAATATTTTTCTAGCATTTTTTAGGTGTTTTGTCATGAGTTTAGGATATTCTATTAAAATTTTAATGGCATACACTGAAGACCTGGCAATTTCACTTCTAAGAATCTGTCCTGTAGAAATGTTCATACAAGGCCATCCTTTACAGCATTAATCTGTACCAGCAAAAACTGAAGAAAATTAACATTTCAGTAGATAAATAGGTAAACTGTGAAATATTCATAATATAGATACTCTGTTGCTGTTAAAAACAAGACAGATTTATACCTTATCATATGAAAGTCCACAATGTCTAAAATTAATAAATCAAGAGAATACTATAGGCAATGTATTTAGATACTGATGAGTGAAAAATTAAAGTAATAAAACATGGTGTATAGTATGATTCTATTTTTATTTTTGAAATACATTTTTGGTATAAAGTCATTACGTGCTTATAAAAAGGTTTCGAAGGATACACGGAAAAACATTAATAGTATTTATTCCTAGAAAATGCAAGTGAGGATGGAGACTCTTATCTTTTACTATATACATTTATACATTGTATGAATTTCTCACAAAGAACGTAAATTTATTTTGTAAAAAGTAAATAAATAAATGTTTTCACTCTCAGAGATAGCAGAAAAGGATATGTAAATGTCAAAACAAAGAACTTTTTAAAAAGATATACAGTTGGCCCAGAATAAGGAAGAGGATGGTCCCACTTCAGACGGTCCCGTCTAACATGTGTTCAGGGAGAGGGACCAGGCTGGAGGGAAAGAGGG